GTCAGCACCTCGGCTTGGTTTCTTCTGAGGCTGTTCTCCTTGGCTTGCAGACGGCTGTCTTCCCTCTACCTCTCTGTCCAAATTTCCTCTTCGTATAAGGACACTAGTCACATCGGCGTGGGGCCCACCCTAATGATCTCATTTAACTTGATTACTTATAGACTGTCTCCCAAGAAGGTCACATTCTGAGATCCTGGGAGTTAGGACCCTGCGTAGCTTTCTTTTGGGGGGAAGGGGCGCAAGTCCAACCCCTGCCAGACTCCCATTGCATCATTATTGATAATTTGTGGTGAGTTATCGTCATTCTCCCCTTCTCTAGAAGGCCCCTTCTGGGATCTAAGCCTTGCTGTTGCTCATATTTATCTTCTCTGTTGAGCCCCTCGTGATGCACACACTCCATAAATACTTGAGTGAGCGAGCAGTAAACACATGTGCTCCTGAGGGAATATGGACCACTGCCAAAGAAGACAGGTCTGGAGTAGCCAGTATGTGAGCCTAGAAACGCACCTCGGCAGACGACGTGGCTGCCCCTGCAGTCAGCTCCGACCTGTGGGAAGACCCCCGCCAACAAGGAGAAACAGTGCTTCCCCCCTGGGATCCCAAGATGTCATCATTGGCAAGTGAGGGCTCCATGCTCACTCTTTGTGATTCCTGATTCAAAAACCAGAATGGCCACCTCCTTCAGGATGCACAAGTGTCCAGAAGGGAACTTGATTATTCCTGGCTGGACGGGAGGCAGGGTGCCTGTTTTATAATCTTCCCCGCAGATGGGCTCGGGCAATAAGCATGTCCAACAGTCCTCAAATGCATTGTTTAGTTGCTTGGGTTTTTTTGTTTTGTTTTTAATATGGAGAAACCACTAACCAAAAAGGACCACTGAGGCTTGTCTGTCAACCTGCCCCCTTTTCTTTTTCTTTGCTTCCACTTACGCAGAAGGCTCTTTACTCAGTGGTGGTTTGATATTTCTTTACCTGGACGGAGATAACACAGCCAGTTAGAACCATCTCAGAGTGAATGCTAAAATGGTGTTCGGATGGCAAGGTTGGGCTTAACAATTCAGTGAGATTTAATAACAGGCAATTGATGTCAATTTCCAGATACTGCAAGTCAGTTCCAATCTATCCCTTAAGAGACTTGCAGAGCTCTGTGGCATTTGGTGACAGAAACATGTCCCGCTGGCGTGGCGAGGCTGTGCAGGCGTTTTGGGGCTGAGGCAGTGTGGAACACTGCCTGCCTGCCCTTCAGCTTGCATTCGCTGCTTCTCCTGTAGGCTTTTTCTCAAACTCAGCATGAGGGAAAAGCTCAATAGGGGACAAGTTTGTTGATAGAAACAAGGGATGATCATCTGTTCCTCTTTCTTCCCCCCAATCCTTAAGGATCAAGGTCATGCCGTGTGCATTCGAACGGTGAGCATGGGGGGTGGCATTTCAGCACATCCGTAGTGTGCACACAGGAACTGAGAACCTCCAGTGTTCTCCCCTTCCAAGTCCATCTTTCTGATCTAACTCTTGGGTTACCTCTAATTGCATCGTCTGGAGCAGCCCAGCCTTCCTTCTCTGGTGCAGAAAGAGCAAGTATTTGCAACGCATTTATTCTTTAGAAGTAAGGTATGGATTTTTCTTTGGGTCCAATGCCATACTGTATATATTCGATTTCCCATCATTTGCGTTTGAATCATTACCTTGATCTGTGATTTGCTGTTGTCCCCTTGACACTTCCTAGTCACTCACTAGTCATTGCTGTTCAGCAAGGCTCTGTACAGAGGCCCATTTGGAAGCTTCTGGCCCTAACTCTGGACTGGGGATTGAGGAAGGCCCATGAAAACAAATCCCTAGATCGTTTCTCTGGGCTTCAGCTTTATGCTGCCCTTCCTCAGCGAGGACTGGGGAATGCTTGTGGGGTGGTGGAGCTGGGCCCCCACAATTGCTGGCCTAGGCCTTTGTAGTGTGGCCCAGGTGGCCTCAGCCTCACACACGCTCAGACAGACATCGAAGAATCAGCGTGGGAGCCCTACTGTTAACAGAAAATTACGATGGCAGAGAACAAATGTGACTTTTTTCTCAAAAAAAAAAAAAAATATGAGCATACATCTCTGTTAATAGATGCAAAGAAAAATCTAGAAGAACATAAGCCAAATTATTGAAGTACTTGGATTTGAGAAGTAGGAAAAAGATCTTCTCCTTCACCAAACTTTAGTCAGGCTTCTCTGAGCCGAGCTAGGTCCTGTCCCTGGGCGTGTCCTCTAAGAGCACAGTTTTAGCACAAATCCTGTCAGATAGGTTTAGTCAGATCCCCTGCCCTCTCCTCATTATCCCATTGTCCTCGGGATCTGATGGGGTCCGTCATTCTCCACCATCCCCTGGTGCTGTCTGGTCACCCTGGCCTGGCTTCAGCAAGAATCCGGTGAGGTCTGTGTAGCCAGATCTCCCCTTTCCCTCATGTTTCCTCTTAGTCATTTTCTCTCCACTGACTTTGGCTATAAATTCCCACTCTTCCTTGTATCTGCAGTTGAGCCCAATCTCTCCCCTACCCCTCATTGCCAGGATCCCTATACCTATTGTGATAGTCCCAAATAATCTGCCTTACTGCCTTAATGAGCAGCATGAGTAATTATTTAGCCATGGGGACACCTGTGACTCTCAATTCCTAAATTATATATTAGGTTTGCATCCTATTATTTGCAACATACTATCATGATTGCATTTTTCACATCGATTAAGTGTTAGTAGGTCAGTCTCCTTGACCTACACATGGCAGAAAACCCACCTGTGTAAGGTGTACAATAAAGTCCTAGGACTTCATTTATAGAGTTGTGGGACCATCGCCAAAGTCCAGTTCGAGACCAGTTTCCATCACACTCCCCAAAAAGATCCCTGTGCTCCTTTGCAGGCAACCTTCCCTCCCATCTCCTTCCCCAGCCACCATGGATCTCCTCTCTGAATGGATTTTCTGAAATTTCATATACATGGAATTAAGCAACAGATGGCCTTTTGTACCAGTTTCTTTGGCTTGATGGGGTTTTTGAGGTTTACCATGTGGTAGTGTGTATCAGTTCACGCTCCACGTCATTAGAGAATATTCCTTTGCACAGACACACCATATTTATCCATTTCTAGTCAGTGGGTTTGTGGGCTTGTGCTATTATGAATGATGCTATGAACGTTCATGTGTAAGTCTCTGTCTGGACAGAAGTGTTACTTTTATAATCAGGAAAAAAGAAAAATGACAAAAGTAAAGACCAACATGGATATAGATTATCAAGCTGTTTCTGGAATGCATCTTCTTTTAGCAAAATGGGAGCTCTAGACGTGGGGCCAAAGTTTTAAAATAAGGAGGGAAAGATGTGGGTCTTTGAGCCAGATTTCCCTGACCCTGACCTGTGCATGGCCTAAGAGGGACAGGGACAGTGGTCCCTGTCCCCTGGAAACTGATGGCATTTGTGCAGTTTCTCCATCGCCTCGGAACACACGTGGCAGTCATGAGTCCCACTGCAGCTCTGACGGCAATCCCAACCCAAACAATACTCCTCTTTTCTGAAGTCCTTTGGTTGAAAAGCCGTAAATTAAGGCCACTACACGACTCTGCCGTGTTTAATACACGTACCCCAGGGTGGTTTGCTTCTGGAGCGGCTATAGAGAAAGGCCTAGAATGCTGGAGCAACTCATCGGCTGAGTTGCTCAAATTCAGCGATTCCAGTTTTTAGGCTGGGTCCTTCCTGCCGTATGCAGAGTTCCAAAGTTGCAGCTGTGAAGGGAAAAGCAGTAGAAAAACCAAGGAAGAGAGGATCCGGGTCTGTAAGCAGGAAAGAGACGCAGGAAATGACTCAGATGAAGAGAGGCAAACAGGAAGTCAGTAGGTATACGAGATGGGCACCCCCTTTAGAGAGGAGAGGCAGGAAGCCGACTGCCGGCACCCTGTCTACACCACTGATGACACCGATCTTATCTGCTGCCTCAGCAGGCTGTCCACTGAAGCCCTCGCAGCAACCGGAGCTCCCGTCTGTGTACGCAGGGATCTGGGTGACTCTGAATGGTCGCCCCGCCTCTGTCCTTTGGAAACTCCCCCTGTTGGCTTACCTGCTTTGAGCCCCTGCTCCTCTTTGCATTCTGCCTGCGGGACACTAATTCTGAATGCCCCCGTCTCCTTTCCCCTCTACGTTGATTTCTTTGGAAGGTTCTACTCATTCTGGATTAATCTGTAATTCCGCGGTGTATGACTACACTACTTCACTTTACCACTGAAGCTTTCCTATTTCAGCTCCTTTAAGGGAAACATCAACACCGGCAGGCATCAGCACTTGAAATATCCAAAGAGATTCTGCTTGATCCTCCCCGAGAACCAATCCTCGGATGTGGGCAGGAGAGAGAGCTAGTATTGACTCTATTTTTTTTTTTTTTTTTTCAAACTGAGGCAATCAAGGTGGGAAAGTTCAGTGACTGCCCAACATCCCACAGTCTCAAAGCGGTGGGCCCAGGAGCGGGTGATAGGCTGCTGACCTAGAGTCCCAGGGTTAGGACACACAAGCAACGTTAAGTGACAACGTGTAAAGCCAATGTGCTATTATCTGATGTGTTAAGACTGAGACCAAAACGGAGCTGGGTGGGTAGGACAACAATTCACAGCAGGTCTCTGGTATTCATTCAAAACCACAGTTGTGGGATTTTATGAATATAGGAGCCTGTGGGGAGTTTTCTCATTTTTAGATTTCCCATTCTTAAAAAGACACTGAGATCCTAAGTAAGAAATACAAAAACAGTTTCAGGGTAAAAAGCTTCTGTTGAGGGATGATTTGCAAAAACCCGTCTTTAGTCTAATACTCAGAACAAATGTTACAGGTCCAAAGTCTATTCAGTTATATGACCCTATTAAAAAAAAATCTGGCCCTAAACTAAATGAAAAGTTATAGTGGTTAATATTTCATAGCAAAATACTGATACTAGGTTAACATTTACAAAGAAAACCCCACATTGTTCAGAAAGGACCATGCCTGGGATCCAATGTGAATCACTCAATTACTGTGTTTATTCTTCAAGCTTTTATTTTGGAGTTCTGTATCGCAAAATGACATGTTTCATGTTTACAATAGGTGTTAGAAATTTGAAATTTTTTTTTCCTTTCTACTATTTGAGAGTAAAATTGGAGATAATTGTTCCAAACCATCATCGAAAAATGCAGAGCAAACTTTTCTGTATATAAACTGTACATAAAAACAAGGCACTATACATTTCGGGGAGATATTAAGGTAGAGAGGTGGATTCGCAGAGTCTTCAGAGCCCATGCCGGGAAGTACAAATTCATTTGTTCATTTTAGCACCAGAAGCAGCACTCAGAACAAGTCAGACCTAATGCTGAAGGAGACGTTTCTGAACGTGTGTGAAAATACGGAGGGGTGCCCGAGCTAACGCCACAGAAGCGACTCCATCTACCTTTTAAAATTATTTTGACACCAAAAGAAAAACAAATCTTAAGAGTGAATGAATACATACTGCTTTGTTAAATACGTATTTGATTTATATGGTGTTTATATAAATATATATATTTTAGAACCCACAAACTATCAAAATAACACTTTAGAAAGAGAATTGCTTCCAAAAAATGGTAGGCAGCCCACCGGACGCGGCGGGCAGCGCGGGAACCGCCGCACATGTGCACGTGGGGAACGCCTTTATTAACATCACCTGCTGAATCGTGGAAAGAGAGTTTCCAAAGGGCTCTCTTAAACATTTACAAAATGCACAAATCCGGGACAAGCAGTAGAGCTGATCACTTCAGGTTTTGGAAAACCCTGATTTAAAAAATCTTTGTTGTTTTTTGTTTTTTTTTAAAATACCAGTCCAAGAAAAAAAAAATACCTATTTCCCTGGTCCAATGGTATTGAAAGTGACGACAGAGGTTCCTCCAGCATCTCTCCAGCTCAGAACAGACCTTTCGCTTTCTTCAGGTTCACCTGCTTCCAGGCAGGCAGTGCGTTGTACTCCTCTCTCGTCATGTCTAGTGCAAACTGCAAAATGGGGAGAAATGCCCCGTGGGTGAGGACGAGCACTCCCAGCCAAGCCCTCGGAGTGCTTAAATGCCAGCCCCCAGGAAGACCAGCTTACCTCGAAGTCTTCATCTGTGAGATAAATCTCAAGCTTCAGAGGATCAACTCCCTCGGGCAATGGCCTGGCCAGCAGATCGGCCAGGGGGTAAATGGTTTTACAGAGTTTGGCTAACACATCTTCCACAAGGGTGATCTGATTGGAAACTTCCGTATCCTAGAGAAGAGGAGGAGGGAGCGGAGAGAACTTCATGCCCTGCACGTGCACAGATGTTCCCGCGCACCTGTGCACATACAGCCCCGTTGGCTGGTCTAAGCCCCAGCCCCAGGGGCTCGCTGGGGCGGAAGCAGGCTCTGACATGGAAAGGTATTGCCCAAAGCCTCACAGTCCTCCTGACTTTTAGATGTCTCCCCAACCCTACCAAATAAATCCTGCCTTGGGGCTGCCTCAGAAAAACGTTTAGGGACCAATCACATGAGTGAATTATGGCATAAGATTATTAAATTTGAACTCTATGAACACTAGAAACATTCAAATAATGGAATTTGTTTAAAAGTCTTTAAAAATAACCTTAAAAGGAATCATATCCTCTACTATCAGCTCCATTTCTCAATCTGGAATAGAAAAAGGTAAGAAAATGCATCTAGAATATGCTGTTGAATCTAGATTAAAAACAACAAAAACCACTCTGTGCATATAATCTGAACAGGTTATTCCATGTAAATGATCTTCTGGTGTTAAACCTGGAATCCCAGATTGGCTCCCTCCTTCTAAGTGGCGGGAATGAATGACTAACGGTGCTGCCAGATTCACCGATGACGGTACAGACTAGTGATCACGGAGGGAGTTTTGGGGCAAGCCTGCATCTGAGACCAGGGACAAGCTATGGCAGGTTTCTGTGCCTCGTTCCTTCCCTGGAAAAACAGGGATAACAAGAAGATGCATCTTAATAGACTACTATGAAAATAAATGAGAAAATACACATCAAGAGCTTGGAGCCGTGCCTGGCGCACAGCGTGCACCTGGCACTCGGGTTATTACTACAGGTTGGTGTCTGCACACCATGCTCCAAGCCCACTGCCGCCCCGGGACCTCCAGCGGATGCAGGCAACAGGGGGATTACTGCCTTCAACGTAGATTGCAGGAGGCCATGACTGTACGCGTCGTCCCTAGTGTGGACTGCACATTTACAGTGAATGGAGCCTTCTGCCAGGACTGTCAGGCTCCTCCCCGTGCAGACCCAGTCCACTTGGTTCCAGAGAGAGAGGTGAGGCTCAGCAGGGCCGCTTGCACAAACATGCACTTGCACTAAATATCCATTGTTAAACAGCAGTGAACTCTCTTTCTGTAAACCTGTTCAGACCTCCCATAAAATATCATGATCTCTCCCCTGGAACAGCAGCTCTCCTACACAGTAAGAAAACTGAAATGGAACAAACCTATTTCCTTACCAAAGCAAAACAAAACAAAAAAACAAAAACAAAAACAAAACCCTTGGAATTCCTACTGCTAGCAATGTAAAAAACTCATAACTTAAGAAATTCAACAAAGCTGTACTAAGCTTTTTTTTTTCCCTGTGTGGTTGGAAATTATGACGTTATAGTTAATAGTATGTTTTAGCAAATAAAGGTTATGATAAATGCTTCGTGTGCTAACACCAGCTGGTGTCATTAAAGACTATTAATGGGCTATTAACACTGCTTATCAGGTATGACTCACGATACATTCATTCACTCTGTTATTTGAGCAGGTTAATCCATCACAGGTTTATTTCATGTCTCCTCTAACACAAGGTTAATGTCTGAAACAAGAGGATTTTGTTGTGCCTTATACAGACCTTGAAAAACGACAGATTTTTAGCTAATAGAAGGAAAAGATGGCAGCTTTTACTTATGTATATTCTGCAGAATAATTAAGTCCACCTTTGCTTTTTTTTTAAAAGATTTTATTTATTTATTTGACAGAGATCACAAGTAGGCAGAGAGGCAGGCAGAGAGAGAGGGGGAAGCAGGCTCCCCACTGAGCAGAGAGCCTGATGCAGGGCTCGATCCCAGGACCCTGAGACCATGATCTGAGCCAAAGGCAGAGGCTTTAACCCACTGAGCCACCCAGGCATCCCCACCTTTGCTTTTAAGTTCTTTTAACTTGAGCACCAAGTATAGCAAATTAACCAAAATAGTTCAAATGATTTCTTCTATTCCTGAGCAAATTCTATGTAGACTCATTAATGTGTTGTAAAAGAAAAAATGTTTTCCCATTTTGAAAATGCAATTGATGCTTTTCCCCAAGGTAAAGCCAACCCACAACCTGAACAGCGGGGAGCTACCTTCACGGGGAGAGAAAGCGCTCTCACCAGTTCTGTGATCTCGGCGATGTCCTCTCTGTGCTCCCAGCTGGGGAACATGTTGGTGAAGGTCAGGGGCTCCAGACCAGCATGGATAAGGTAAGACTTGGGGGGCGGCCTCTTGATATTTTTTCCTGTAGGTACACAGAAGGCAAGGTCAGTACACCCAGGGTTTGGTCTGAAGAAATGGGCTTGCTTTGATTTTCTTTGAAAGCTTTTCTTGTTTGGCTCCCTTATGGTTAAAATGCAAGTTATGAGTAGTTCATAATAACACATGGACGATGTTTATACAAAATGTCAATTTCATGCATATAATGATGCATAAAACTGCAGGTAATTGACCTGAGTCTGACAAAATGCTTCTAGAACTCTGGATGGGAGAAAGCCTCTCTCCATGGCTTTTGGGTAAGACATTTTCTTTCCCCTGTGTTCACTTGTAGAGAATGCCTCTGCCTTCCTGATGCAGCCTTAGTTTCAATGACAGTTAAACAGCTAATGACAGCATTTTATAAGCCACTCTAACTTAAACATTGGGTGGAAATGTGTTACTTATTACTGACAAGCTTTTCAAGAGAGAATCGGCTGTACAAACTCAGTGAAACTAATCCATGAAACCTGAAAAATTAAGATAAGAAACTAAGGGCATTTTTCACTTCATAAAAAATGCTATAAATTTTAGGTGGATGGTATAGTAAAAAGCCATGAGTTCACTACAGATTTCTTTTTTTAAGATATAATACTAAAAATAATAGTGAATGATAAAAAGGTTGCCATTGGCTCTCCAGCCTGTGCGGGGGAGCTTTCCACTCTCAGACAGTGTGACGCTCCGTGGTGTGGGGGGGTAGGGGTAGGAGGAGGCCCTCATGTCCTCAGCAGGTTCATTCCCAGGGCAAAAGGGTTTTAACCAGTCCAGGGTATTCTACAATGTAGTCTTTGACCTTGAGGGTAGCGACTTAGATGGCCCAGTTATCTAAAAGAGAAAAATGAATTCTCATTCAGGCTGATAGCCAAGAACACACTAATCTCAAAATTAAGAAGCCTTACAAAATTCCTTGGCTTCATCACTGTCTGCCAGGCCGTATCAAGACCCCCACACGGTGGTTCAAGCTTGCGCCGTGACCCTCACCTTTGCAGTACCGGAGAACTGTCTCCATGGCGCTCTTCCGGTCGGAGGCCCAGCGAATGCGGGCTGAACCGGTGATCTTGTTCTCAATGGGCCACCAGCCTTGCCAGAGGTACACCTCATGGTGATTGTCAACAAGGAAAAGAGCTGCGAGGGCAAGGACATAGCAGACAATCAGGGCCTCCTCGAATGCTTCCAGTTCACTCTTCCCCAAACCCAATGGAGGTCTTCCCTCCCTACTGCTTTTGTCAGAGGGGGCAGAATACCTTTGGCACGGGCCAAAGGGTGTTTGTGATGCCTCAGCCCTTTGAACATTTGATCAGAACAAGCCTCTGGGCACAGAGGTGGCATCTGTGACACTGGCCTCTTCCCTTCCCTTTCCCCGCATCCTCTCTCCTGTCCCTCGTCAGCTGCAGGCCTGCCAGTAGCCCTTCTGGAACCGGCAGCGAGCTGAGCAGAGGAACAGCTCACGTCCCACTTGGGGGCTTGTGAGCACTGTGTATCTCCTGAGAGCAGTTTACAAACTGGAGAGTGCATCTCCCTTGCTCTATAGGTCAATGATGTCCATGCCCCATGTGTGACTGCATCGTAGGCGACCAAGTTCAGTGTTCTTTGCGAGAAAAGCAGGCTGTAAGTAGATGTGTTCTGCCTCTTCCTCCTCGCTTCTTCTCATCCAGTGGTCACGCTCTTACTCCATATGGCCAAGGGGCTCTTGCACTTGCCAGGTCTGCCTGACCTAAGTCCCTCCCTAATGTGCGTTTTAGGATGCTGTGCACACGACACATGTGAAAAGCCCCAAGACTTGACTGCAGGAGGGCTGGAGGGTCCATGCATGTAGCCCACTCTCTGGTGACTGTGACTGTCCCAACCAGAACAAGAGCACAGAGGTTCTGTCTTGAGGTGGAGGTCAAGTGGAAACAGCCCTGACCTCAGGATCAGAAGACATGGGTGGGAGCCTCAGCCCTACCCTCCAGCCTTGGCAGGCACGGTTCTTTGGCTGACTCAGCCGGTGCTCTGACTCCCTTGCTCCCCCGCAACTCACATTCCCAGGCTCCCTTGCAGCAGAGGGTGGTCATGTGACAGAGCTCTGGCCAATGGGATGTAAGCAGAAGACAGCCGGGGCTTCTGGGAAAGCTTTTGCTTTATCTGATAAAAGGGAGAGACATGGCCATCCCTGCCCTTTTCCCTACCCCTTCTTCCTGTCTTGAATGAAAACTTGATAGCCAATTGCAGACCATGAAGCAACAAGACTGAGGGGAGCCTGGAAGAACAGCATGGATTCCCGACCTCTCAGCTTATTCTTAACCAACCTATTTGGGTAAGTTAGGCAACCGGGTCTCAGTTTCTTAGGCTGTAATGTACGGCTGATGTGCCCTTCCTTTGGGGGTAGGTGTGAGGATGAAATGAGGTAACATAAAGTTTCTTGCCAGTGTACTTGGCAAATAAAAAATGTTTACTAAATATGAGCTTCAAATAAAAAGGCTCTTTGGAAGGTGCATCTTCTGCGGCTCAGGGCGCGACGTCCCCTTCCACAGCCATACCTGGCTGCGGGGCACTATAAAGATCTTCCTGCAGGAAGGGCATGGAATTGACCACGGAGGGGTCTCGGGCGGGGTACATGAATTCCGTGGCTGCGAAATCACCAGAGGAACTGCTGAGGATGAACAGGCGGGGTGTGAAGTTAAAATTTCCAGGATCTTTGAAAAGAAAAGAGAACAAAGCTGAAGACAAAATATGCACAGAAGTACATCCTAGATGGATTGGAGAATTAACATAAAACATAAAATAATCCAAAAATTAGTGCAAGGATGGTAAGATTTATCTGAACTTGGAGGTGGGAAGGCCTTTTTAATCATAATTCTAAAGGAAATAATGAAAAGAGAAGGGAGTTATGTTTTGACAGTACAAAAATGAAAAATTTCATTGCCAGAGGAAAAAAAACCCAAACAAAATGAAAAGGCAGGTGACAACATGAGAAATACAGAAACCTGCTACTATCTTTAGTATATAAAAGAATATATCTCAATAAATTGTCCAAAAGGCAAAACTAAAACATTCGTCAAAGTAGAAATACAAATGACTAAAAATAATTAAAGCGTTTCACAGTATTTCCAATTTAAAACACTAAGTTAAAACAGTGCTTAGATATCAGTTTGCCCCACTAAAGTTGGCCAAGAGGAAAAGGTGACCTACTGAGTCTCTGACTGTACTGGGAAATGCACAGTCCGTGTATGTATATTATATGTATAATATTGCTGGTGTGAAGGGAACTTGGTGCCAATGTCCTGGGGCACCCTGTTGATATGTACTCTAAAGCTTTTCTACCTTTACCAGGGCAGTTCTGTATCTAGAAAATTAACTAGAAATAAATGCAGATACTTATTTTAAATTTATTCACATTTGTTGTATAATGAGGAAACATTGGAAACAGCTCTCTAAAATCAAACTAAAAGAGGTTAAGTAGAAAATGGCAATATACCATCTTCATGGAATACCCTGTGGCCACAAAGTCTAATGAACACCTTGAGAAATTGTTCATAATAAAGGGGAAAATCAGGGTATAAAACTGTATAGTGCTATCCAAAATTTTCTTCAATACAGATATGTATGGATCACACAGAGAAATGTTAATTCTGGTTATCTTTGAGAAAGGTGATTATAAGGAACCGAGTTTCTTTTTCAACTTCTCTCTGCTGAACTCCGTTACGTCCCAGCGCCGAGGACGCTGGCCAAACCAAAAGCATCTGGTTCCACAGGGTCATGGTGTGTCATTGCTCAACTGGTTTCCTGGAATCTTCTTCTTCCCTCTCTTCAAGTCATGCTTACCTTCAAGGCTCTGTTTAAATGCCACGTCTTCTATGGGGCCACGCACAATTTTCCTGGCAGAACCTCTTTTTCAACTGTCAGCCTCCTTCATTTGTACCTCTTTTATGACCCACAGAAAGTTTTATTTGGCATTATACCTGTCTCGCATATTATTTAGCATCCTTATTGTGTTGTAGGCCTATGAGGACCTAGCCTAGGTCTGATTCATTGAGTGTTGTACATAGTACAGGCTCAATAAACATGTATTGACTAAATTAGTGACGGAAGGCAACGGAATGTTCTATTACCTTGAAGCATGCAGTCGTAGGCTTTCCTATCTCTCCTTCCTAAAGCATCCCAGAAGCCCAGGGGCTCGGATCCCTCGTCACACTCGTGTATTGTCACTTTGCTGCTACTATGCAGTCCTGCTTCCAGGGGACATCTGCGTGGAGAAAATCCAGTAGGTTTTTTTGTTAATTTTTGTTTTGTCTTATTTATTTTTTTAAAGATTTTCTTTATTTATTTGACAGAGATCACAGGCAGTGAGGCAGGCAGAGAGAGAGGAGGAAGCAGGCTCCCTGCTGAGCAGAGAGCCTGATGCGGGGCTTGATCCCGGGACCCTGGGATCATGACCTGAGCTGAAGGCAGAGGCTTTAACCCACTGAGCCACCCAGGTGCCCCTGTTTTGTTTTGGTTTAAATAAGCCCTAGAAGTGTTGGCAGTGCAAAATTATTCAAGACTAAATCTACAGACAAGTTCACCGTCTCTCTTCTTCTTTCTAACTAAAACATTTCTTCCTAACAAATGAAAACGGGCTCTGTAGTTTATGAGTGTGGGGGAGGGGGGCTTGGAGAGCGATGAGAAGGACTGGCTGGGCCCTCAGAGAAGAATGTATGATTACACGTAAGATATAATGAAAGTGATACACATTTTGATATATCAACATACATACTTACTATTCCTTGTCCTCTCCTGCTAGAACATAAGCTTCATGGGGACGGAGACTTGGGTTTGTTCACTAGCCAAGTCCCTGGTCCCTATATCTGGGCTGGGCACCAAGTACGGGTTCAATGGTACCTACTGAGTGAATGAGCGAGGGAGTTCATTGTTTTGTTTTTTCTCAGGGCTCCAAGGGGGAAAAGCCGATGGACCAGGGAGGACTCTAACTACCTCACTGAAGGTTGGTTATTGCCCCTCCCTGCTCCCCAGTACACACAAAGGGGTCTGGAGAGGAGACGTGTGGCTTCCCAGCAGGCTGCCCATTGCAAGGGCACTGGCCTGCGTGCTCCTCTCTGCCTGCTCCCCGGGGTGCTGGCTTTGTGAGCAGTCCCAAGGGAAACCTGCTCTCCCTACCCCACCTGCCGTACTGCCCTGGGGCCCAGAGCATGGACTGGACCCGATGACACTTTGGTGGCACACTGCGGCCCTGGAAACTTTTCACTTTTACTGTTTAGATGTTACCACCATCCTCCCGGGGCTCAGCCTGAGGGAGTACTAGGCAACCCCCGAATGCCGGGGCGAGGCTGGGCTCTCGCTGGTTGTCTGTAGAGCCCATTGAGCATGGGCTGCCACCTCCTCTAGATGGTGACTGCACAGTACAGCCCGCTCCCTTGCAGGCCTTCTCTTCCTGCTTCGGTTTTCCCTCTTCCCCAGCGGCCCTCGCGTAATGCCCTGGACTGGGTGCTTCCTTGGCCAGCTGCCCTAGTGTGGGTGCCTGCATGGGACAGGAACCAAACCCAGCCCCTGCTGTGCTGTGACCCACAAATGGCCCAGGCAGGCCGACCACTCCCTGGCAAGTGGCTGCCTTACAGAAGGCAGAAATGCCGTTGTCCTCTGGAAAGGGGGCATTTTAGAGTCGAGCATGGTTGTGGTCTCCCAAACTCTTTTTCAGCTCCATGCTTTCGAACTTTCCACGGCTCTCGCAGAATTAAAACTCTGAACCCCTAAAAGGTGTTTGAAATTTGCTCTCATTTTTAAGTGACAAAGGACTCCAGGCTTTTCATTCAAAAGCTTAATTGTACCTACAAAGAAACTAAAGCTCTCATTGGGGTCATTTCCCTCGCTCCTCCCTCTGCTTTTTATGGAGGCAGGGGAAGCCTCAGAACGCTGGGGAAGCCCTCACGTTGGCAGCATTATGGGAGTCGTGTGTACATCTGTTTGGAACGTCAGAGGCAGCTGACAAGGTTCAGAACTACCCCCCCTGCTGAAGTCCCTTTAAGTATACCGGGGCATCTAGGGGCTTCTACTGGGTGGGTCTCCCCTCCAGCCTCAGCCCATGTCCCACAGGGAAGCCCCTTCTGGAGAGGCCCTCATGCACAACACTCACTGTTCTTTGATTTTATTTGCTGCAGTCCTTCCAACCTCCTTCGTGTGGGCTTGGGCTTTGCATCCATGCCACAAGTAAATTAGGGCTTTGTTTACGTTGAGGACAACCATGGAAGTCCTGGACCTCAGGCTACTACAGTGACAGGCCACTTCCAGCAAGTTTCCTTCCATGGGCACTTCTCCTCGCACACAGTACAGCCTCCACTCGCCTGCAGGGGGCACCAGCGGCACAGAGTTAGGCCGGGTGCTGCCTGGAGAGCTGCCCTCCTTCCGCAGTCACCAGCCAACACCACCCCCTCCCCCCTCCCGGGGGGAGCAGCAGCCAGCTTCCTGGTGGCCCAGAAGGTACAACTTTTTGGAGTTAGAAGCGGTTTATGATATAGAAAGAGCATTTTTACAAAATTTGTAAATACCCAAGTAAATCCTATAACTGGCATTGACGCTAAGCCCTTTCTTTGTGGGAGGGGTAGGGATGTTGGCTAACAAAAATCTCAACTTATAATGGACGACCCACTTAACTTTCTTCTCAAGAAGAGACAGAGTCATTGTGAGAATTCAGTTTAAGGTGGAATCATCTTCCAGCCTCCTACATGCAAAGCCGTATCCTGAGGAAACTCCACAGGACTAGGGGTGGGGTGGGGTGGGGGGTGGTGGGGAGGGTTGGGTTTCCACTTTGAGCTCCCCATACAGCTCATTTGCAAGGCCAACGTTATGAGGCTTTCAGGAGTAAAGACACACCTATATAAAAGGAAATTTACTCTGACCACACTTTTATATAAAAATATCTTTCAGGAGAGGGAGAAAAATCTAATTCCAGTAGTAAAGTGACTTACTTTGTGCATTTTCTTCCTCCTCTTCCCTTCTCCCGGAGTGCACGACCATCCCCCCTTGGAAACACTGCAGAAAGCAGGGGGGCTCCTTTCCCTGCAGAACCTGGACCTTCCAAGGTAAACATACTCCAATAAGTAACACGTACTGGGTTTTCAGAGTCTTAAAAATAATACAGGCCTATGGTAGAAAATCTGGAAAATATCAAGAAGTGCAAACAAAAGCCAGTGATAATACTATTATCTATCTACAGATAACCACCATAAAAATTCTAGAGCCTAGCTTTCCTTTCCAAGTATTTTTCAGGTTTATGTTTTTCCCAAGCTTTTAAAAATAGGACTGTTGTTTTATGTTACTTTATATTGATTTTCTTCGCTTGATGTTTTTCGGTCACCAAAGGCTCTTGAAACGTGTTTTGACGTTTTAATGGTCTTCCACGGTGGAGATGTAACATGACTGATTTAAACACATTTTAAACAAAACCTGCTTCTCAGTAAGGAAAAAACGACTGATCACTTAGTAATTTGGAGGGGAAAGAACGTTCTCTTTTGCCACTGTGCCCAGAGTCTACTCACGGAGCCATGTGCCTGCTGACCCCAGACCACAGCCTGCCCCTCGCCTGTGAACCACCATGTTCCAGCAGGTGGTAGCTGCTTAGTAAACGTGTGGGTTGACTCCACCCACTCTCACTTCGGCTAGACAGTTTCCTTTAATGGGAGACTGATGATTGAGCCTGACAGTTGGGGCACACTGAAAGGTAGGAAGCATTTGCCCACCAACTGTTAACCTGCAAATCTCAGGGCCTGTTCTGCGTAATTAAGTGCCATTTTGCAGCAGTGTTTCATAGGTCCAAAATGTTCTTATATCCACTGGCTTGACAAAAAAAAAAAAAAAAAAAAAAAAGTGATGCTCAAACTCGAGAGGTTAAGGCTCAAAATTCTAAAGGGGATTTTAAAGGCATGATTAAAACCTGGCCTTTACGAAAATTAAAAAGGCAGTTGAGATGACCCATAATTAAGAATAAATTAAAATGCAGTGGTCTCTAACAATTATTTACAATTATTATATGGTCTACAGGAGGAAAGGTACATCTTTTAGGGAAGAGAAGCAACTCTTAGGAAAAGCTAAGTGAGTGTTAATCTATTTTGGAGAAAATTCCTGTTCTCTTCCCTTTTTTTTTTTTTAAATTTTTGTTTAGTGTTCCAAGATTCATTGTTTATGTACCACACCCAGTGTTCCATGCAATACGTGCCCTCCTTAATACCCACCACCAGACTCACCCAACGCCCCACTCGTCCCCTCCAAAACCCTCAGTTTGTTTCTCAGAGTCCACAGACTCTCGTGCTTCGTCCCCCTACCCCTGCGCGCCGATTCCCCCAATTCACTTTTCCTTTCTTTCTCCTAATGTCCTCCATGTTATTCCTTATGTTCCACAAGTAAATGAAACCATCTGATAATTGACTTTCTGTGCTTGACTTGTTTCACTCAGCATCATCTCCTCCAGTCCCGTCCAAGTTGATAAAACTTCATCCTTCTCTTCCCTTGTGCTATTGTTAACTACTCATCCAAGACCATGAAGGTGTTTGCACATGGTATCATGTTCTCTCAGGACCCCACAGCCAACTCTTAATTCCTAAAGGATGGGACCTGAGGCAAAGGTAATCTGAACATCGAGAAGAACTGTTTACAAAGCCTTGGCACTGGTATTACACAGGCCCTGAGGTTAACGGTGGGAAGGAATAGCATGCTCGTAAGGGAAGGCAGATAATAAATAAGCACTGTGTGTTCAAAATGTAAACGAAATGACAGATTATGTGGTTTTAAGTAGTGGTAGTAATACAAGTGCTATAAAACATAGTAACAGGACAGAGAACAGGAAGGGATTTGGATAAAATAGGTGACATTTGAACAGGTATCAATCTTCTGAAGTTGAAAGTTACTATGGATACAGAGGAGATTGTGGGAAGGGGAAACTGTACAAAGGCCCTAGGGTAGGGAATGGCAAAAAAGAGGCTAGAGCAGCCCTGGCCATGGTGAGGGTGAGGGGTGATGTGGGAGAGGTGTGCAGGACCAGACACGAGGGTGCTAGCAAACCACCAGAGAATGCTTTGACTGCAGTCCATGTGTGATGGAGGAAAAGGGAATGACATGATCTGACGTGATCCAGAAACATCACTCAGGCTGCTGTGAGGAATGCAGATGATGGCAATACTAATTTTCATGTTAATCTCTGATATTTCCTTAGGACAGATCTATATAAGTGGAAAAAGTGATCAAAGTTTATGAGAATTTTAAGGTTCCTGAGCCAACCTGCTTTCAGGATGGCTGTTTCAAGCTATCCTTCCCAATGGAAGCGTCCCGCTGAATCCTTACCTGCCCTGGATCCATTCTTCACAAAATCTCTACCAGTTTTAGAAGTGGAAAATAGTATCTCTTTGTTCTGTTTACAATTCCTTGAGTATTAGTTAAGTGGAAACTTAAAAAAAAACAAACCCACCACTCATTGTCACTCTGTACTTGATTTGTGGATTTACTGTTTGCAGATAGATCTCGTATAAGAGCACATGACTGCTGGCCAGGCGGTGGAGACATGATTACGAAGCCCAGCCTGGAATCTAGGGGAGCCGGCCAGGACTAAACGTCGCTTGTGTGATGCTGTTTTTGTTCAATGGACTGGCTCTTTAACCAGGACACACCCCCCTGGAGCTCTCCAGGAAGGCCAAGACTCTCCTCCATGGGGGCAGCCACTTTCTAGAACTTACCTGGGCACCCCTCTCCTCATCCAGCTCCACGGTCATCAGAGCCGATGTGCCCTTCTCACTCACGGTCGACTGCCGGCCTTGCCAGAAGAAGTAGACACACTTCTCCTTGCCAGCCACCCGTACTGAGTGCTCTCCCTTTTGTCGACTTCCCACTGCAAACATACAGAAACCAAGAGGGTGAGGTAAACAGCTGAGAAGCCAAAAGAAGAGCAAATATATGGCTTTCTTCTCCAGGCTCCGTGAGGACAAACTGTGAAGAAATAGCTTTTGGCCACAGGGCTGAGGAGAAAAACCATCTTTCTTCTAGTTAACTAATCCCAAACCTCCAAACTGGAGAAAAAAATGATCTCGCCTTCTTGATACCCTGAGAAAAACACCTGTCATCCTATAGGAAGGCAGATCACTCCAAGTGTGTGACAGAAAAAAATGGCGGCTGCCAGAGCAGGCCTCCCAAAGACACAAATGCATTTTCCATATCATGCCATTTTTTTGGCATAAGATTAGCCAGTAGAGAAAAGATATTAAAAACAACAGCTGGGCCAGCTTTAAGCACAAAGGGAAAAATTTAGTCTGTGAAAATGATTCAAGTTAAAAAAAAAAAAAAACTCTGAAGTTTCCAAGTTGTCAGAAATGGAAGAGCTCTATTGCTGACATATCACTTCCATAAACGAATCTGGGATTTCAATTGTATCTGTCCCCAGGACAGCAGCCAGGATGGAGCGCCTGCTGTCCTTACTGTCCGGCACCTCCAGGCACATTGGTCAACATTACCAGCACCCCGGACACAGATCTCATGAAAGAGCAGGCGTGGAAAGTTCACTGGTCAAGTGGTCGTTTTAAAATGGCCGTATTTCAGACCTCGCCTCACTACTTTTAGGTTTATACTATACTCCAGACTCCTCTCATTCATTCATTCATTCATTCAGCAGATAGTCACTGAGCACCTACAGAGGGCCTGGGCCTCTTCACAATACCAGGATAAGCAAGACACATCAACCCCTTGCTTTCATTCTGACCAACAGATGAGCAAGACAGTTTCAGAGAGTCCCAAGTGCTCTGAGGAAGACAGACAAGGGTACATGACCCAGGGCAGGGTGAATACTGATGAGATTCCCTATTGAGGGAAGGCTTCTCTAAGAAGGTGACCAATGACAAGATGACAGGACCTGCAGGCGGACCATTTTGGAATGAATGAGGTCAGGAGACTAAGCTGTTACCTCAAATGCCTGCCTGAGTGGTCCCAGATAGTGGTGGTCCACAGGGGAGAAAACAGTTATAGCCCCCACGCTTGTTGAAAATTAAAGATGATAACTGGATTCTCTGTTTCTGTATGAACTCAATTTTTCTCACCTCCGAACCCATTTATAACATCACAGCTGTCTTGGAATTTGAAGGTAAGAAGAAAGCTCATTTATCTTAAGTTCTTAAGAGACCAGGGCCATATTTATTTAATTTTTTGGCCTTTGAGCAAAGCACTCTATAAACCGTTTTCATAAATGATTATAATACTCCTTATAGCACTTTGCCTAAGCATGGCCTTTAGTGCCATCTTTTGTGGACCTGAACTGGTCAAGCCCATGTATTTCTAAGTGGACAAAATAAAAGAGAAACTATCAATGAACAGGTCAGGCATTTTCACAGTTAGTTTGGAAGGCACTCCTTTGAAATTTCTGCTACTTTAGATAGGAACAAAATTTTGCCTTTGATTAGCAATCCCACCCTTCAAAGCAGTGAAAATTAGTCCTGTCAGCTGGGGAAAGATATGCTTAAAACAAGTCACAGAAGTTGAGACATATCTTGAAATTTGTTACCACTTAAATACATTGTGTAAGTATATACTCAGGTTTCAGTAAGAATCAATGTTTTACCACCTACCATCTTAATGTGGACTTCAGTATCCATACCTAAAACACAAGTATTTTCTTAAAATGTTTCATAATAGTGTTCAGTACTTTTCCTTGGAGTTTTTGTCAAGATACCCAAATTTCATCCTACACACAATTTTTAGTTCATTTATTTTTAATCTTAGCCAAGTAGAGACTCAGCTTTCAGCAGTAAGACATGACGGACTGTAACCTTTATAGCCTTGATCAGATGGCTGATTTAAAGTGTCACTGTCTCATGCCTCAAAATACTTCCCAGAGTCAGTTTGTGACCAGGAGTTTCGTTTAGGAGTAACGGAAGACACAAAGAACATCAAGGACTTCTCCTGGTCAGGTGGTCTCGCGGCAAGAGTCCCATTTACTGCTCACCTACTCACGGTAGCTTGGCCTGTATCACGCTCCCGAGTTGCCTGGCCTGGTTACAGGGCAGGACCGACCCCACCAAGGCCTTTGGTCTCCCTTTCCTGGAGCACACAGTTCACTCCCCCAAGGAGCTTCTCTGTGGGCCTGTGCAGGCTGGCTGGCGTCCACCAGGAGGACAGCTGTCCTGCCTCTACAGCCTCTGGTTTCTGCTGACCCTGTCCCAGAAGAGCTTCCCAAGCTCCAAGTTCAGTCCTGTTTGCAGGTGTGGCCCTTATGGGGGTACGAGTGATGAGGGGCTGGACCGCAGTCCCCGAGGGGCCACTGTTAATGTCACTGGGCTATGCTTCTCTGCTCCCAGAGGGACCGTCTGGAAATCTGAATGCTCCCTGATCTGACTTAATGCTCTGCAGATGGACTTGTCCAGAGTTGTGGCTGTGGAGATGCTGCCAGAGCTGGCTGTGAGATGTGCGTTGAGTATACCGGGAGGAAATACAGAAGAAAGTATCTGCCTGCGCCAAGTCATTATTTCTTAGGGGCCTCCAAGAGAATAGGCTGTGAAGGCCTCCTAACTCTTAGAGTCACCTGATTTACAGTGATTTTGCTTTTGTTGCTCAGGACATCGGTGGTGATTATTCCTGTGCCGGGCCCATGCTAAACATCATCCGTGCCAGATTATAATAATCTGTGAGCTGGGTACCCCCTCTGTTTTCTAGGTGAGAACACCGATGCTCGGACAGCCTAAGTCACTTTACCCACCTTGCAGAGCTGGTATGTGGGGCCTGAGAGAAGACGTGGAGCTGGGCTGTATGGCCCCTGGGCCTGTGGCCTTTCTTCCAAGCCCCAGGGCCTCCTTACAAATGGGAAAGGCAGTCTTAGGGTCCTAACCTGCTCTCTACTTGCTGTGTGACTTTGGGCAGGTGACTTAAGCGTGTGTCCTCTTTCTCACTGAGCGATCGGCATAACACCAGGGTACATCGCATGGAGCCTGGGGAGGCACTCAACCAGGGTGCGCAGCAAAGCCGCCAGTGCTGTGCCTCGTGAACCAGGTGGGCCTCCAGGACCGGGGCATACCCAGACAGCTCTGGGCATGGCCTCCTGTCCCACCAGGCGATGCCCAGCCACGGGCCTCCCACAGAGCTGGCCTCGGGGAACCCAGCTCTCCTCCCACGGCATGACGCAGCTGCTTCTCCCCAAACTTGCCTTACAGTTATTTATGCCATATGCGTTTAGAAGGTAGGGCCTGACGTCTTTACTTCCCCTTAAAATATATGTCTTATACCCAGAAGAGAGATTAGGTGATCAGTACATGCCATCAGTGATTAACAGACTGAATTAGGAAAGAAATAAATGGGTTTTGAGTCTATGGGGGTCTGATCAGCAGACCACGGCCTCCACCCCCCTGGGGCCCTGGGGGAGCCATATCTGGACAGCAAAGAGGCAGTCTGAGAGGTGAGTGAACTCTCAAGAGCTGAGTCTCAAGACCACAAAGCTGTGACAAACTCCTAAACGGTGCCGAGAACGGGCTACTTCTTGGCAGGGAACAGGGATTCTCCCTCCAAAGTCCACCGGCTCTCCCCACTCACTGCCTCTCGTGCGAAGCATACAATTGAGTGTTTTCCTCGAGTGTTTCACTGACAGGAACCATGAGCAGCTGGACTATGTATTTCTTCTACCAGATCCCCAGAGCGCGTTGGTGCTCTCAGCCTCAGAGGAAATAGCTCCTTTTAGTTCTCATCAATCTCTGGTGCGTTACCACACCATGTAGTTCCAGTTCTAAGCCATCCGGATACGCTTCACAAGCCTTTAATCTAGGCAGCAGACAGCCACATGGTAAGTATCATTTGGAGGCAAATCACCACTTTCCTAGAGAACATCTGGGGACGGAGCTGGGGAGGGAGTGAGGGGAGCGGAGAAACCTTAACGCGCACGTTTAACTTCTCGAGGAAACCATGACATTCATTAGCAACACTGGCTCATTGGGACCCATCTTCAACATTGACCGAATGGTCCTCAGAGCAAACCATCAGACTGGTGCACCGTCCGCGCGCCTGAGGGAAAGGCAGCACACACGGGGACAGGGCTCAGGGACAGGGCTCGAAGATGGGCTCGCTGCCACCCCCAAGCCCCCCAGGTCGGCGTGGAGAAAACGGAAGTGCTCACTAACCTGCGGTGCTCACCATGTACTTCCACTTGACCACATAGGCGTCCCCCTCGTGGAACTGCCCGATGCTCTGTTTGGGAAGCCTGCTGTAGTCAAACTCCAGGATGTGCCAGACATCCACAGACACGCTGGCGATCTCAAACTGCCTCCTGTCGTCCCCTTCCACCAGGCCGTAGCCGCGACCCACGTTCACCCCGTCCAGCACCGTGCCCGCTGTCGCCTGGGGCACCGGCACCATCAGCGCCACATCGTACGGCTTGGCTTCGGCCCTAGGATCTTCCTACAAGGGAACGGAAGGACACTGGTTCAGCGGCCTGTTTCTAATGCCATTTCTTGTGACATTCACTGCTGTTCTCCTATTAGTGGGACAGGAGAAAAGGCTTTCCAGCCCTGTCTCGGCATTTCACTGCATTTTAGGGTAGGGCTCTGGAGTCCTAAATAGCCCCCCACAACACTGAAGGGGTCGCCTGGAAACCCCGGAGGCCCAGGCAGGCCTACTCCGCCTTGGCGAGATAGACTATAACGGGAAACCCGTTCTCTGGTCTCCCAGAAACCCTAGGAAGGCTTTTAGCACCCAGGCCTCTTCTGCTGGGACCTCGAACAAAGCCTGAGGTTTGAGACTTGCTTCCCAAAACTACCTTTGGCTGGGCAAGTTCGCTGGCACTCTTCTCATTAGGTCTCTTCAGTTCAGTCCAGTCAAGGAACTTTTCTTTGAACAAAATTGTCTCATTGTGTTCTGTAAGTCTCCCGAATATTGCCCAATCAGGTCGCCCCTGTCCTTTCCTGCAAGGGTGGGTGGGAGGGGGAGGAGACAGGAAAAGAACAGAGATTAAGCCACGTGTAAACAAAGGAAAGGGACCGAAAACAGATACACGTGGCTACTGAAAACAACTCGGAATACATTAGTGGTATGGGGAATGAGTGGTTCACGTGGTCAGGTAAGTGATGTTTCAGTATTTCAGCCTGAAGCCTGGCAAAACTTTGTGTGCGTGGAGTTGAGGTGCCTGAGTGGGATGTGAACCCCGTCAGGACTGGACTTTTCCAGCAAATTGTTGTATCTGGGACCCGCTGAGGGTGGTGCACTAGCCTGGGAGCCAGGAGAAGGCAGGAGCCACATGCCCTCAGAGTCCCCGGCAGATGCTCACCATGTGTCTGTCACTTTAATGGGTAGATGGGAGGGAGGCCCTGAATTCTCTATTAAGTCACGCTACGATGAAGCTCTCTGGCATCCAGGAACAGATGAAATTCTCCCGTTACTAAAAGGAGCATACTTGCATAGATCATTAAAAGAATTTCTGCATATTTATTTCTAGGACACCAGACATGACAGTGGCCCCGGGGGAGCATAAGTGCACAGAAAAGGAAGTGGCACAGCCCAACCTGGAGGCCTGGTCCTGCCTCAGGATCGCAGAGCTTGAAACGGCTCCAAACCCTGGTAAAGTCAAGGACATGGTGGCTGAAGAGGGTTCAGGAGAGCACTGTTCATTCTTCCACATCAGTCTTTGGTTGTGAACAGACTGGGACGCTACACCCCACAAGACTGCCGAGCAGCGCTCACTGGGGCCCATGTTCCATCACTTCCTGTTTCGTCAGGACTCGGCTTCTGACGTCACAGCTAGGGCCCATCAAGGAGGCTGCTGGCCCCTAGGGAGACTGCTGGGGGACAGCATGGTACACACATGCTCCCACTTCGTACTCTTGCAGGACTCTGGGAACCAGGTACCAGCAACTCTGGAAAATTCAGGGCTCCCTTGTGAGGCTGGGGTCTTTCACGGCAAATGTCTGAATGATCATCCTTCACATAAATTTTACTCTGCAGAGTTTGCTAGGATGCCTATCGGCAGAGCGCTCGCTTCCAGCTTTAGACAATGATTTTTTATGCTGGGTGTCCAGCAAGCACGAGAGGCAGTGGGTGGCGGGGGCAGGAGCGCGTGAGCGTCTACCTCCATGCTGACTTCCATGTTGGAAGTGGGCTAAGTCTGGACACCTCAGTGCTTCAGGCCCCTCATCGGGTAGGAGGGGCTCAGGGCTTACTCTTGGCTGCCCCTTAGGAGGAGCCCCGAGGAGGCTCTTAAGACACATGAACTCAAAAGCCCTACCCCACACGCATTGAGAATACATCCCAGGGGCCGGTGCTGGGGCTGGGCCTGGCACGTGCCTTTTTTTTAAAGCTTCTCAGGTGATTCTGATCTGGGATGTGCTGAGAAGCCCCAGGTTAGGTGCTCACTCATCTACTCCCAGTCGGAAATATTAAAGTTACAATGATTTCAATACAGTATCCTCCCTCTCACTCCCTGTCCCCCAAAAGGCACAGACGTCATCTACTGCCAAATAAATGGTAAATCCTGGACTTTGAGAGCTATGCTAAGGAGGCGTGAAATGAGAAGGAAATATGTCGCTTTTGCCCCTTTGGATCGATGGCGGAATTCCAGGTCCTGGAGCCTTTTCAGATCCGCATGTAATTTGTTTCAACAATGGCTACTCATCTGCCAGGACAGCCCCTGGGAGGCCGCAGGTGGGAACAATTTGTTCACCTCAAGAAAGGAGACTGAACACAGCATCGGGAAGATGATGGCATCCGTATTTCTGCATCAGTTAGGCAAAAACTAAAGAAATACTCTTTTTGTGAGTATTCAGGGTACTGCCTGCAGTCAGTGATGAAAAGGAAACCCTAGGAAGAGTGACAGCAGGTGAGCATGGGGGGAACTCAGGCCTGCTAAGGGAACCTGCTTGACCTCCCACACCACTGATGGAAATACCTGGGAATAAGCGGGTTGCATTCTCCAGGATCCAACGGGTTGATGTCACAGTTCTCATAGTCAAAGGTTCCATTCCATAAGTGCTTTGCCAGCTGAAAAGCTATTTTCCTTTGTGCTAATGTGACTTCTTTTCCGTGCCACACGTACACTTCACTACCGAAGTCGAACACCAGTACCTGGAAAGGCCGCAGAGGGCAACATGTTAACTTCAGAGCCCTGCTCCGGTTGAATGAGGTGTGCACTGACCAAGTCTGATGGGGTGACAGCTGGCCCTGCCCTGCCACGCTGGCCTCTGGCCCGTGGCTCTGATTTCCGTCTTGTTCTGAACTCACCAGCTTCCATGACAAGTTATTTAACTGCATTTTCCTACCTGCCTTCTTTCCCTTCTTCTTCCCTGTCCCCCTGCTCTTTCATTCACTGAGCATATACAGTGGCCACTTCTTAAATGCTAGACCCTGAGGACCAGTGAGGCGGTCTCCCCTCTGTACAGTTCCAGCACCCTCCACCAGGGCAGAGACCATACTGTACTGACATTTACAGGACCTTAGGAAGTGTTTGCTGAGTGAATACATGAATGTAATGCCATTTCTTATTTCCATACCTTTGGTTTATCTGACTCTTTCATCCTAGAATAATTTCTTCCTTCCTGTCCGGCAATCCAAATCCTACTCAACTCCCAGCGAGGCTCAACTGCACCTTCCCTTTAAAATTACTCCTGATTATTTCTTCTCTGTGATTTTTTTTTTTCCATTTAAATGCCCACAGGTGTCATACAATCCACCTAGCTCTGGAAGACGTTCTTTCTAATACTCCTCTACCCAATGAAATGTAAGGTTCTTTCATGTCTTCCATTTTTTTCACAAGACAGTGGTAATGACAGTGTATGTGATTAGTAAATACTTACTGATATAGGAGAAAAAAGCTAGTATATTACTTGGTAAACCCAAATTGTATAAATATGCATCTATTATTCCTGAAACTTTGTTTATAGAAAATCAAGAGATAGCGCTAAGGAGTATTTATATCTTATTCCCTAGTTATACTGATATATACTCGCACCCAGCACCATATAAGTGTTAAGGCAGAAGGCACAATGACTTGATTTACATGTACTGTGAAATGATTACCACAATTTAGTTCAGTTGACATCCACTACCTCATACAGATAAGAAAAAGAATACAATAAAAATCCTCCCAAAAAATAAAAAAAAATTTACATTTTGCTAAAACAGAAAGCCTTCAATGACCCATGACTCCTCTGAACAATGTTCTGAATTCTGGGGGCACCTGGATGGCTCAGTCATTGAGCGTCAGCTCAGGTCGTGATCCCAGCATTCTGGGATCAAGTCCCGCATCAGGCTCCCTGCTCGGCGGGAAGCCTGTTTCTCCCCCTCCCTCTGCCTCTGCTGTGTTCCTCTCTCACTGTGTCTTTCTATGTCAAATAAATAAATCTTTAAAAAATATTTTTTGAATTCTATCCTTGTATTTAAGATGGAGTGATGGTTTGCATTCACAAGTAAATATCCTGTAAAAATACGTCACTGTTCCACACCAGGCACGAACGCTGGCCAGCGTTTCTCCGGCACGTGGGGTGGTGTTATTGGGCAACCCCGTGCCAAGTGCTCTCTTGGCAAGGATGGCGCCCACGCACTGTACCTCTTTTGACTGCAGAAGGGAGCACTTGGGAATCTTCCCCCAGTAGTCATCATCAGGGACAAGTTTGTCATCCATCAGACGGTAAATGCAGTTTGTTTCAATTATGGCTGTTTCATAAAGTTCATCTTCTTTTGGGTCTCCAGCAGCTTTGGGATGAGAACAAGAAGACAGGATGACATTTTACACTGAAAAGTGGCCGGTTTAGAAGAAGTAAGTAGGGAACTAGAAAAGCCTCGCAAGGCTCTGAAAATACAGTAAACTCTTACACTGGTAACTAGTTTGGCCACCCAGAAGCTTCCAGAAGTCTTTGGCCGCATGAGTGTGTGTATTAATTCCTTCTTCAATAGTCTGGACATAGGTAGCTCTACAACCAAGTTCCCTCTTCGTCTGAATTAAACTTGCCAATTCTGAGGCCTGGAAAAAGGGAGGAGCACAATTACCTAGATAGACAAGCCTGTGGTGAGGCAGAGTGGTGCATACTGAAGCCGGAGGCAAAAATGGCGGGTCTGCAGGGGAGACCATGTGACCACAGGGGCTGCAGGCACCGGGGCTTGGGTATTTTCAGCAAGGTCAGGAGAATGGAACTCAAGGACCAGGGGGCACAACTCTCTAGTGTGACCATTCTTTATTTTTAAATACAATAGGTCACTTGTGAAGTTTTGGAAAAATACCCATTCTCTGGGCTTTTGCCTATGAGGTTTTTATTCAATAAGTCGGTAGCAGCATTTCATAGGTACCTGGGATAAATGGCTTTGAAGGGATGTGCCAGTTCCTTTTTCACACAGGAGTGGAATAGGAGTTAAAAACTGGTGGGATCGGTCATAATCCTTCTAAAACTTCCCACTCAAGCACCTAATGAATGCGTGTTTGAGAGACATTCAGCAAAAGAAATACTGCCTCTCTCCCTTCTCACTTGCATGAAACATATGGCATTTGAGAAGCCTTGTAAAGACCTAGCAACTGGTAGAACATTCTATCGGTGCGTAAAGGAGGTGTTTAACTCAACATTTCTTATTTTTCAGATACCAACCTTTGCCTTTTCTATGACATTTGCAAACTCTCCTACCCACACGAAACAGTAATGGGGAGAGAGCAGGAGGAAGCAGTCCCCACTGTTGAGGGATGAAGCTCGAGGTTCAACCAGTCTGGTCTGCACATGTCTTCTTCCTGTAAGGCAGGAGGCAAAGAGTCGCCATCTTGCCAGAGAGGAGAACTCTCCAAGCCACAGGAAGGGCCAGGAAGCACCCCTACTACAGACTCTTACAGTTCTAAAGAGTCTCGTCTACCAACACCAGCTCCATGACAAGAGTGGTAGAAGGGGGTTTCTAGATTACGGCCTTCTAGATTACTCTCCCGTGTTAATGCTTTCCTACATGTCATCATGTGTCTTAGGACTGCCACTGGGGTCCTTTTACAGCACGTGTGTGGATTCGTTAAGTTCCTTCCTCCAGGAAAGTTAGTAAATGTGCTCCTTTTTCCTGTTCAACTCCTCCCCCGACCCCTTTCTCTGTGCCCAGCCCACCTCCTGCATTTCATAGCCTCGGCCAGCCACACTGCAGGCGAGGGCCTGCCTTCCCAAGCATCATCTTCCTGGGGTTTGCACACTAAACCCAGGGCAGTCTTAGAGGCAATCAGCTTGGAGGGAAGAACTGCTTTGTGCTGCTTTCCACAGCTTCTCCTAAAAGACTGTTGATTTAGGCCTTTCCATGGTCACACTGATAGTGTCATCTCTGGGTCAGAACTTGGGACTAGACATTGGTTATTTGCACTCATCACTAGTCCTCCGAATGCACTAAAAAGGCCAGTGGTCACAAAGAAACACATGGGACACCCTCCGTGAAGGATATTCTACCAGCCTCCTCTTCATTATTACTCTAGGATTGCCACTCGGAGGCAGCCAAGGCTCTCCTCACAGCCCATGGTCTCTCTGGTCGTCTCCTGTGCTCTTGACAAAGGGGGTGCTGGAGTGGAAATCTAGGTCGGCTTCAGTTGCCTCTGCTTTCCCTGGATTCCCTCTCCAAGAACTTGCATCTCTGCCTCTGGCCCACACTAACCTTGCTCACCTCAGCGAGGAGAACTGAGTGGAGAGAGCCCCCGCGAAGACTTCGGGGACTGCTGGAACTACAGGTGGTGACGGGGCTCAGAGGGCAAGGGGAGGCAGCAGCAGAAGCTGAGCTTCTGGAATGGGAGAGACCTGGGTGCAAATCCACCTCTGCCACTCAAACAGCCGCTGTGACCTCAGGTGCATCACTAACCACACCAAGCCTCAGTGGGCATCACATCTGCCACCTCATGGGATTTTGTGAAGCTTAGGTGGTTGGAGGTAGCACAGTAGGTTCTCAAAGAGCATGCGCTCCCTCCCCCTTAAGGTCAGGCCTCCCGGTGTTACCAGACTCAAACCCCTGCTCTGTGCGTGGTTCCTCCCCACGGCTCCTAAATACCTTTAATCTGTAGGAGCATCAGCTTCTTGTAGGGCACCGCACTGTTGTTGGAATTCTGTTCGGTCAGATTGACGCTCCGCAGGCTGATGTTGCTGAAGTTTTCTTTACTGGCTAAACCTGCCAGAGTGACTTCGGAGAAGCTGGAGTTGGCAGACACTGGGAGGGTTGAATAAGGAAACAGTGGGGAAGGGGGAGCAAGACGGGCTGGTGAAATGACATTTGCCATCAGAGGTTCATCATTGACTAGCTTTTTCTCAGATTAATCCTGAGGGGGAGACCATCCTCAGGTTTGGGTGACGAGGCGGTACAGGGCTGAGCTCCTGTACTCAGGATTTAACTCTGTCCTCAAAGTACCAGCTGCTTGCGGACACACGTCACACCTTACCTTGCAGGGGGGCAAGAATCGAGGGACAGTGTGGACCAGCTCTTTTGCTACAAAATCAGGAGCTGGACTCACCTGTCGCAATTCCACTGAAAGCAAATATAATTCCTAACAATGTTTGGATGTTAATGCCAACACACTCACAAGGAAGGCTAGGAGGTATCTTTCAACAAAGTCTTTATATGTAGAAAAGCAGGCACTCTTATAGGGATGGGTTAGTCCTAATCTTTTTCCTGGAGGCAAAGTGATCAACTAGATAATCCCTTAAGGTCTTCTGCCCTCAGAATTAAGACCATTGCAAGAAGATGCTGGGTTTTCCATGTACACCAACAAATGTGTACGTGTCAGTCATCACAAAGCCATCCCCAAGCCCCCGAACGTGGAGATAGAGGAAAAATACCTAAAATTTGTGCCAAGAAGCCTTTATTTCTTCAACTGCCCATTTTTTTAAAAATGTCTAGGCTAGGAGAAATTGAGGAGATTATTTTGCCGGGATTAAGGTCTTATACTACTTGACAATTCGTATGGCACAGAGGTTTTGAAATATCTTCTTAGTCAATCAGTTATAATGAAAAGACAATACTTCATGTAAATACTGTATTTCTAAGAAAAACTTTCAGAAGTAGGTTTACGAGTGCTAAAGGAAAATACAAATTATAGCAAGACTATTCAGTCTGCAAATGGTGTATGCCCAAATTACCTCCACTAAGAAAACTACTATTTCAGAACAAGGGACCCTACCTCATCAGGCTGAGGAGAGCAGAGCAGCTGAGCCAGAAGTGGGACACAGGGCACAGAGCCCCTGCCTCACTCTTACTCACCAGCTCTACCCCAAAGCCCCAACACTACCCAATCCACATCCCCAATTTCCAAGGCTCCTGTTAAACGCAATTTGGAAAGCATTTGTTTATGCATTAATTAGTAATATGAAAATCTAGGATTAGGAAAAGCAGCCATTTGGGACATTTTCTCATGAGAAATTTTCTCATCTTCTCATGAGAGATCTAATGATTTGCTCTCAAACAAGATTAAGTGGGGAATTACTGTGTTTGGGCTCTATAGAGCTGAAAATGGGTTGAACTACAAAACGCTTCTCCTCCAATCTCTTGAATGGAAAACTCCGCAAAACAGGGTAACTTAAATACGGGGCGCCTGGGTGGCTCAGTGGGTTAAGCGTCCACCTTTGGCTCAGGTCATGATCTCAGGGTCCTGGGATGGAGCCCCGCACCAAGCTCCCTGCTCAGCGAGGAGCCTGCTTTTCTCTCTCCCTCTGCCAGAGTGCTCTCTCTCTCTGTCCCATAAATAAATAAAATCTTTTTTAAAAATAAGAAAATAAGTTAATGTAGTGAACAGACACTCCACGCTCTAAGAAGTTCTGCGAAAAGCCTTTCCATTTCCAGGCAGGTGTGCACGTACGTGTGTGCAAACTTACTCATTCTTATTTGATGAGTGTCTTTTGAGCACATGGCTGGCCCCAGCAAGGCAGAAAAAGATGAAAATCACCTAATCGCCAGACGCCGACAGAGAGGCAGAGCAGTGGTTCCACATACTCACTCTTTTCTACTTTCATCCGCTTCGACTCCATGAAGGCAACGTTTAGTCTCTGCTCCGTGTATTGCTGAAGGAGGTCTTCTCTGGCGGCCAGCATTTTCAAGGGGTTTTTGGAAGCCTGGACCCGACGCTTGGGCCTCACTGCACGCTTGTGCTCGGCCACAGACGAGGTCAACCTGGGGAGCAAAGTGGAGTTGTGGCCTTGGTCTGCCTATTGTCCATGCCTGCGTTATCTGTGGCTCTCCGACGTGAAATAAGTCTCTACCATTTTATTTTCTGATTTCATTGTCTTACAAGTCCTCCTCCTGCCTGTCACTCCCGGACATGTACACATAGAATCTTGGAGATGGGGGATTCGGGCCCATTTAGTCCAAGATCCTGGAGGCTCCCGGCCCCACATACCACAGCACACCCTGTGGTCTCTGCCTGGCCAAGCATCTGATGCTTTGTGGGGCAGCTCATTCCACTACTAGAATGCTCTGAAGGGTAGAAAGTTCGTTCCTACCCTGATCACACCTGGACTGGAATATTAGGCATGTCTACTCCTGTCGCTGGCGAGCCCTTCAGGAATGTACAGCCAGTCATTGCTTCTCGATTTCTCCTTCGTCCAGACTAAACTTTGTTTTCACACAACTGGTTTTCAGCTGCCTTCGGAACTCCCCCACAACCAGCCTCCTCTCAACTCTTTGCGCCTTTCTGAAAAGTAACCACTGCTTTGAAGAATATATTGAAATAAGACAGGCCCAAGAAGCCAGCAACAATTGCCACACACTCACACGACTCTCTGGGGGCAGACCAGACACGGGGAGGGGGGGGCGATCCGGTCACACGGTCTCCTGACAGATTCCACTCCTACTCTCAGTTTCCAACCGCACATCCTCTGAGCTCTGATACATAATTCTGTCCTTTGTGTGACAGTGTGTGTCTAAACATAGCTATAGCTATACAGAGATAGATACAACGATTTAAGCAATGACATTTGGGTTGGGAGAAGAGGACAAATGTGCAAATACATAAAATTTCATTTAAAAAGTTGGGGAATGGCAAACTGTTCATTTTTTAAGATAGAAAATTGAGAAAAACTGAACTCCCCCCCCCCAAAATATGCAAAAAATGTATTTGGAGCAGCTTACAGGAAAATGTATGATGACCCCACAGTCTTCTGGAAGAGGGAGTCACTCAGATAAATTTGTGGGGAGGAAAAAAATGTGGTCTGTGGCTGTGGGCGTAGCCTACCCAGCATATATTCTCCCTGGCTTCTGGTAAGAAAACCTTGACACTGGCTCTGGCTCTGAGGGGCAGGCGTCCAGAGACCAGCTCTGGCCAATCCTCACCTTCCATCCCCTTGGCTACAATGATTGCTTTAGGACAGGGCTTGGACCCTAGAAAATCCAGCCTGGAACTTGGGCTGGAGGGAACTGCTGAGGAGAGAAGCTGCCTGTACTGGAGTGGCCAAGCCAGTGGCTGAAACAGCCACATCGGGGGGTGGCCATTGTCTGCCATGTGGTTACAGCTTGGCAACAGCAAAGCAGCCCCAAGAAACACCAGCAAGAGAGAGACCTCGTTCTGAGGAGCCTCTGGAACCTTGTTCACACTCACACTTTCCAGTGAGTGGACCTATAAATCCCTCCACACCTTTGTCAAAGTCCATTTGACTTGGATTTCCTTCTGGCACCTGCAACCAAAAGAATCCCAAAACCACAATGGCTTTCCTGAGGTGGTTTAGTCATGATCCTGTGTGAAGAGCGACCCTTGGTCATCCCTGAGAAGACTCTCAGATCTATTCATTTCATAGATTACTGGAGGGTAAGTAACCTGCTTTATTGATTTTCTAAGTCCGTTCTGTGAGTCTGAGCCCGAGTGATCCAAATATTTTTCAAGGTTACGAGTACGAGTTCAATGTCAAATGAAAGACAGCATAGAGATTGCTGGCCAAATTTATGTTTGTCTAAAAATCTGCAGAACAATATTCAGTTATGTGACAAACACAGTGACCTTACTTTTATGGGCAGGGGCAAACACCAGCGGCACACGCGGTCTTCGCCGACCTCCTGCCCAAGCGCACATCTGTTCTGGAGTGCGCATGTCACCTACCCTACGTGTCTGGCTCTAGAGAATAACCCTGTGTCTGTGAGGAAGGTCTGCGGCAGAAGGAGGTGGCAGTGAGAGAAGATCCTCATGGAGGTACCATGTGAAGGCTGACGACAGAATCATCCCTTCTCTGTGGGTGAAAAACAGAAATCACTCACTTAGGGGCATAAGGATCGAAAATGACATCAAAATCCTCGTCCAGCTCCACGGGGCTTCGTGGGACGGTGTCATCCATGCTGCGGTAAAATCTGGCAAAGGTCTCGTCATCGTCCAGCTTCATGACCTCCTTCACAGATTTCCCAGTGACCGTGAGTATGGTCTCTCCGCCAACTATGACAGACGAAGCGAATACATGACCTTGGATTTGTGTCAAAACACTACCCCAACTACGCTTCACGAGGTCTTCAAAATATTTCCCCCTGAATGCCAAGAGCAGAGAGAATGTGATAGTTTCTGGGCCTTCCTGACGTCTCATGGAAGGACTGTCCATTGCAAAAACCTTGCACCTGGCAGGTATTAGGAGAGGAGGCAATAAAAGCCCACCGAGCATTTCTGAACCACCGGAGGCAGAAATGGCCTCAGCCTCATTCTAGATCAGAAATCAGTAAAAACTTTTTCTGGAAAAGGTCACATGGTAAACATTATAGGCTGTGCGTGGGAGGTCATAGGGCCTATATGGCAAGCACTCACCTCTGCTACTGGGCAAAGGGGACTCTTCACAATACATTAACAAGGGAGCATGACTTCGTTCCAAACAAACATCATTAACAAAAACAGGCGGAGAGCTGGATTTGTTTCCTGACCCCATGAGCTAGATCACCATTATACATATGTAATAGGCTTCAAGTTGTTTGAACTCCTTGCCTTGCCAGTTTCGTTATGACCTTACACTTTGATGTTGCTGGTATAAAGCATTTGTCTACATTATCCCCAACCTGTTAGGAGGTCATGGTCAACAGTAGCGACTCCCAGTGCTTAGTATGTGATTGGTTTCAAGTACTGGACATTTTTATTGAGATGACGCTAGTTCTGCATATTATTCCTTTACTTTGTATACTTTAAGGACTTTTATACTGACGTATATATTTCAACATGTATTCAGAAATCACTTGCAATATGTCATCTGCTACCTTATTAGAAACTGACAGATAGAGGTGCCTGTGTGGCTCAGGTCATGAGCCCAGGATCTTGAGATAGAGCCCTGCATTGGGCTCCGTTTTTCTCCCTCTATCTTTTCCCTGGCTCACGCTCTCTTCCTTACTCTCTATCTCAAATAAATAAATAAAATCCTCAAAAAAAAAAACAAAACCCAAAAACCTGAGATATACAATTTAAATTTCATGCAGCATGTGATTATGTCAATTTTGTGTAATATCTGCTTTCAAGTATAAAAGCAAAATTACTGTGTTCCCAGTCCCAAGGACTGAGTGGGACTCAGGAACCAATCTTACTGGAGATCCCCAAACTAGTACAATAAGAAGTGACTCAGACCGGGGTAATCCAATCATTTCTGACTTCCTTTTTCAAACCAATGGTAATGAAGATAATACTTTCACTATGACTTGGTGAAGTCAAACAGAAAAGAGACAATTTAGCTGAGGAGAAAAAGCAATCAGAATCACGATTTAGAGATTCTGAGAGAGAAGCGGGGTTTTCTTTTTAGGTTCCCTTAGCTACTCATTGGATATGAATCACAGCAAGCTACAAGCTCAAAACCCAAAGCCTCGCTCTGGCTTCCGGTATGTACCTTTGTTATTCAGCCTCCTCAGAAAGGTTTCCAGCCTGTCGAGCTTCAGGTCCGATTCCAACTGCATGTCTGGTCTGGCTTCGATATCTAGGTAAGCGGAAACCATCCGTGAGACAGCGCCACGGGGACTCTTCTGGTCTTAGACCCAGGGGCATATCAGATGCCTCAGTGACTTACCTTCCAAGGGCTTAGAAACTGGTGTGGTGCCCCTTGTTTTACTGCAGATGGGAGACGCCACTGGAGTTATGGCCGTGGGTGATGCCAAACCTGCAGAACATCAAAGGAGCTAGTTAGTATCTCAGGATCATTTCTGGAAATTCCCAGGACCCTGCCGGATCTCCAGTAGTCCCATTGTAGGCTTTACAACTTACAGACCTCACACACAGGCACACATGTGCACACGTACGTACATTCAGCAGGTATCGTTGCTACGTAGGGCAGCTGCAGATATAGACAGAGTTTTATAGTTTCTAAGGCCTACAGTAGCTGAGAAGCTGCCACTCCAAAAGGAACAATGAGGACAGGTGAGAAAACGTGCCCGGAACACGTAAGTGGAATAGAAGAGTACATAAAGCATCAGGAGTTGTGAGTCCTGAAGGCCCTTTAGGTGGTGGAGGTAGTTCAAGAGAAAGTATATTTGCACCACATCCCACAGAGGCAGTGGAGAATGGGCTGTGTCATACCAGCTGTCAAGCGGCCCCTGGCACTGGGGTCTTCCTGCAGGATGACCCGAGGTAGGGCAGTTTGGCCTTCGGAGGCATCAGTCAGAGAGTGATTTTACTGAGCAATAACCTAGGGAGTACTAGCCTTTTAGAAGAAAGACACAGAAGAGGATACCTTAAAATTGATTTATGATCGCTGAAGGGTCATATCTATCTCGGGTGTGGATGGGAACTAGCTAAATGCTTTCACATACATTTATCAAGGAGCAGAGCGGGGGGATGCCTGGGCAGTGCAGTCGGTTAAGAGTCTGCCTTTCGGCTCAGGTCATGATCCCAGGGTACTGGGATTGAGTTTCGAGTCAGGATCCTTGCTCAGTAAGGAACCTGCTTCTCCCTCTGCCTGCTGCTCCCCCTGCTTGCACATTCTCTCTGTCTGTCTCTCTCTAATAAATAAAATATAAAAAAAAAAAAAAAGCAGAGTGGGGAATTTTTTTTTCTTTTTAAGTGTAAGTGTTAGGGACATATGAAAGAAAGGCATTCCCGCAGAGAGAGGGATAGTATCTGGTTGGAACAAGAAACCTTAATAAGGACAAAGATGAGTACCTTTTTCCTCACCTAAGTAAAGGGATTGCAAAGGAAAGTAATTAGTGCATTTACAAAGAACAAAATGAGATGTTAATGTTCTTGGTATTCATTTGTAATAAATGTGAAATCATTGGATGACACTGCCCCTTTAAGCATCCCTCAAAGAACAGCATTTGCGGAGTATGTAACTCACTATCGCTGACTAGGAAAAATAAATGAATGAATTGCTCTTCTCTTGTTCGCTGGAGAGGGATGTATAATAGCATAAAACTTTTAAAGAAAAAATACAGAAATGTGGCTTAAAACTTCAGTTTTAGGTGATATTCTAGAAGTACTTCTTAATAGGTACATATATTTGCTTGATGATGTCCATAAAAATCCAAACATTTGTTTCAATGACCAAACCTGAAAAAGGTTTATGTGAGAAAGCAAACTTTCTTGAAAGATAATAAAGTAAAATTTGGTAACACAGCCTGTACAGGTGCCGTAAACCATCACCTACTAAAAGGATGCAAGGGAGGCAACAGAAGAGTTGCCAAGCCCTGAAGCTCAGAGAACTTGGCCCTCCGGACTGTAGGGGCGCCCCCTGCTGCCCATCCAGCCAGCAGCATGCACAAGAGCTCCCAGAGGTGGGACGTTCCCTTTCCCAACTACAGGCAAGGGTTTCTCCCTAACTCAACACCGTTAAACAAAGCACTCCCCGTACCCCTTCTCAGTGAATTCTACCTGCAATAACCAGCCACCTACTCTCTTCAGAGACATCTTCCCAGCTCTCTTATTCAAAGGCATATTTTGAGAACTTTCAGGAGAATTGTCAAATGCCACAAGAACTAGAGCACTAATCCTTAGGTACAGTCTAGAAACATCAAAACATCTTAACGAAGTAAGAGAAGGGAAGGAAAATCAGGGTTAATATGTAGCAACACGCTGAGCTGAGAAGTCTCTGTGGCTGTGGCATAGGGATTATGTTATTCTGCAGTGAGTGTAGCACACTAGATGCCGTATTACTGCAAATCAGAAAGAGCTGATGATTCCAGTGAAACATGTAACAGCAGATGGTAAAAATATTAGAAAAACAGGATACAGTTTTTTTCCTTACATGAAAAGTACAAGACATTTATTTCCTGAGCCAGTCACATAGCACCTGTTAAATAAAGACCCTGGATTTGTTCAAGAAATGTGAAAGCAAACTCCTGCACCAAGGGATACGAACGTCTCTGACCTTGCTCTCCAAATCCACTTCCTCTGACATCCCTGTGGACAAGGACAGTGTATTTGGTAATAAGGGCCTGGTTACAAATAAATGATAATTTTTAAGATGGAAGAAGAAGAAAGAAACCAAAGTTCAAAATTATTGGGATAAAAGTCCAGGCTAAAAGTTGGAAGATGGGAACTCTGGTTCAAGTTCCCAGCTTGAGTTCTTAACCAGCATGGGCCTCAGGGTCTGCTTTTGTTAACACAGGAACAGGGCTCGGGCCAAAGTTGTTTAACATGTGTATACAGGTCTCTGATCTGATGAAGAAAATACGCAGTTACCACCTCATTCAGTGGGAGCAAATTACCTTCTGTTTTCCTACACCAAGATTTGAGTTAATCACAATTCAGGGTTTCCCCGCCCTTCCTTCTACAAATATTTATTATGTGCCTACAATGAGTTAGGCACTATTTATAAGTGAGGATCCTGGAAGTTTTCCAGGGAAGAGAAGCATGAACTAAGAAAGCTGATGACAACATACATTAACTCTAAGTGCGTGTGAGCACTTATATCACGAAGTCAGGAAATTTGTTTTCAAACAGTACCTTAGGAAATGAAAGTATAGGCATATAGGTGATGAACGGACCCCAGATTTTAACCATTTCCCACAGGATATGGAGGCTCACAGCTTTACTGACCACGTGAGGCAAAAAGTGACTTCACTGACCATGTGAGGCATTGGTCAATTTCACAAATCTTTGAATACTGACTTCAAATCAGTTTTAAGAGCTCAGCGGCAAAGAAGTGACTGTCTGCAGGGAATCCTACTTTCTAAGAATGGCATACGTCTTTTAAAAAATCTATTAAAACCTCTCCGGAAATAGGGTTTTGTAAGCCAGCAAACTCTAGTTTGATGGAAAGGGACCTAGGAATTCCTCTAAAAAAGAGAAGATGCAAACTGCTTCTTCATTGACAAAGGCTTATTTGGGTTAACTGATTGCCAGGTGGCAAGAAAATGAAAATAATTTTAAAGCAATTATGGGAAAGGACTAATATTTGTTAGAAGATTTGCCATTGCTTTTGAAACCTGTGCTCAACTTCCAAATGGCTAAATTCTGGGTGCCTGGGTGGCTCAGTTGGTTAAGTGACTGTTTTTGGCTCAAGTCGTGATCCTAGAGTCCTGGGATCAAGTTCCTCCTCAGGCTCCCTGCTCAGTGGGGAGCCTGCTTCTCCCTCTGACCTTCCTCCTTCTCATGTGTTCTCTCATTCTCTCTCTCTCAAATAAATAAAATCTTAAAAAAAAAAAAAACCGCCAACTGGCTAAATTCTGAAATGTGACTAACTGAATTATACTTCTTACATGAAGATGATGCCATTTAGGAAGAAAGGATTTTCAGTAGGAAGAGCTCCCCAATCTACGCCCCACTAAAATCTGTACAACTTCAATAAGAGTAAAAACTAAAAAAGATCATGGCTTGATTTTTTAAATTGGGTTATCACAGGCCATCCTCCCTTCCGTGGGCAACTGAGCTGGTGTGTGTGTCCCCCCCACTCCCCACATGCACACGTGCATACACACACACACACACACAGACTCTGACCTTTCTTCACCATTCTGCCAGCCACTGTAAACTGGGTGGAGTCATTGGCCGCCCCTTTGCCTTTTGTCTTCCAGGCTTCTTCTCTCACAGAGATGAGATGCTTCCTCTCTTCGATAGTCATCTGGCTCTCTCGACTTTCTGTGACCCGCTGTTTACAAAGCATGCCAGGGAGAAAAGAGGGCAGGGAAATGACAGAGCTGTGAATTTCAGCATGTAGCATTTCGTGAGCCTAGGAGCAGGTAAGCAAACAGGAGGGGTACACTGTCCAAAAAATGTCTGTAACTGTTCTAGTGGAAATAGGCGGGATGTCCTTACTCCCAGCTTGGGTGAGAGATCACCACCAGCAACACCAAAACTTTAGGTTAAAACTTTGATTTTTTTTTCCCACTTATTCGTTTGGACTACTGGACCACCAAAATGACACCTTGTAAAAATAAACAAAAATAGAGACTCTCTTCCAGGCCATCAATTTAAAAGTTGCTCAATTGTACCGAGCTAGCTAAACTCCGTTGATTAGGAAATTTCAGTCATCTGTTCTCACAAACGATATGGTCAATCCAGAAAAATCTTACCCACTTCAGTTCACAAGGATCACGGTCAAGTATAAAAGAGAGAAAGCTGAGTAGGAATCAGGTGTGCTACAAGAAGGTTTTCTGGAACTCAGCATGTTTCCTAGACAACTCTGGTAGGTGGGCAGTCAGGGAAGCAGGTCAGCCCCCGAAAGGGACTTCTGGGTCCCAATGTGTCTGGTCACAGAGGATGAATGGTGCTATGGACAAAACCTACATTCAGACCAACATTTCCACCTAAAAACTACTTTCAAAAGCTTCTAACTGGAGATACCTGCTTCTTCAGTTTCTAAGGCCTTGGTGAACTCATTTGGCCTAAGAGAAAAAGGCGTAGGGAACTGAGGGAGCCGGGAGAGGGGAGGAAAGAGGACAGGACTGGGCTGAGATGAGAGGAGGAGGAACAAGAAGAGGTGGCAGAAAACTATGGAAAGAACCTAGATGTCCATCAGCAGATGCATGGATAAAGATGTGGTATATATATATACAATGGAATACTATGCAGCCATCAAAAGAAATGAAATCTTGCCATTTGCGACGACGTGGATGGAACTAGAGGGTATTTTGCTTAGCGAAATAAGTCAATCAGAGAAAGACAATTACCATATGATCCCTCTGATATGAGAAAGTTGAGAGGCAACATGGGGGGTTTGGGGGGTAGGAAAAGAATAAATGAAACAAGATGGGATCGGGAGGGAGACAAACCATAAGAGACTCTTAATCTCACAAAACAAACTGAGGGTTGCTGGGGGGAGGTGGGGGAGGGATAGTGTGGCTGGGTTATGGACATAGGGGAGGGTATGTGCCATGGTGAGTGCTGTGAAGTGTGTAAACCTGGCGATTCACAAACCTGTACCCTGGAGTTAATAATATATTATATGTTAATAAAAAAAAAAAGAAGAAGAAGAAGAGGTGGTAGAGGGGAAGGAGCATGCCAGGGATGTGTGGATAACAGTGGTGGAAGACACCAGGGCAGGCAGTCCTCAATGCTGGTAGGACAGTTTGTCTTCCCTCGTCGTCCATGCTGTCTCTCCTCTCATTACTGACCCCTCTCAGAGTTACTTGGAATTAGGGTCAAAGTAGGCACAGATCATGAGGGGGAAATGAAAGAGAAGGGCTTTTTAATTTGGGGGCCATTTTTTGTTTTGGTAAAATTTAAGATTTGCCAAGTGGCAGGGAGTACAGGACAGGGAGAGATGCAGGGGCAGGAGCTGTGGGAATGAGTGTGGAGGAAGGGAGAGAGGAAAAAGCCTCCCCCCAGAGCAAGAGCTTCCCTCGCTCACTCTGCAGTCCACTGTCTAGGTTGGTCCTGTGACAGGGGCTCCAACGCCGGTGTGGCCTCCTGGCTATGTGCTTCGGCTTGAACCTCAGCCCCTTCTCAGACCTGAGGTGCACCGTTCCTGCTGGGGCTTTGCTTTCAAACTATGGATGACCTTGCCTTAACCTCCTTTGGCAGGTTCTCTCTCTTATTCTCTTGTTAGTTTTTCCTTGGATAAGAAGCAACAAGGTCAAGGTGATCATAGACCTTCCACGGACTAAAGTCAGAAAACCAGGAGAGCCCTGAGGATACTTCCCTTAACTGACAAACAGGAAAAACAAACAAACAAAACAACTTCTAGATTCATTCAGCAAGAAAGCAGAGATCAGCAAGGTTCATCCACGATGGAGGGTATTACAGGAGAGGGGTCCTTCCCTCGTTTCCAAGAGAGATGGGCATAAAACCGTATCTGCACCGGCCACATTCGGGTTAAGCCATGAACAAGGACTTCTCCCTCATCTAGTTTGTTAATCCTTTACAGAATTCTTCTACAGAGGAATAACAGCCAAAATGGACTTTGAAATCTTTGGTGATTAAATTAATTTAAGTAAAAACCCTTTTCCTGAAGAGACAGAAGGGGCTAGAAGGGGCATGGCTGGAGGGGAATGGGCACAGCTGGAAATGGGCTGTGGATTGAACACTGCATCAAGGTTACATTTCCTCATCTCCATCACTGTATTGTGAGGAGACCGAACGTTTGTGTGCCCCAAATTTCCTATGCTGAAAGTTCATCCCCAGGGTGATGTCTTAGGAGGTGAGGCCTTTGGGAGGCGTTCAGTCAGGAAGGTGGAGCCCTCCTGAAGAGGACTGACACCCTTATAAAGGACACCTCAGAGAGCTCCTGTGCCCATCCTACCATGGGAGGACAGTCACCACGTGAGGCTGCAGTGAGGAGATGATCCTCTACAAACAGCAAGTGGGCTCTCATCAGACATAGAACACACTGGCACCCTGATCTCGAATTTCCGGCCTCCAGAACCGTGAGAAAGCATTTTCTATGGTTTATAAGCCACTCAGTCTATAGCATTCTATTAGGGAGCCCCAATTTTGTATATCATGTATGTGTACATGAGATAGGAGGGGACGGGGTGGAGGGAAGAGATGAGACAGGGCAGGGTGGCGAGCAAATGCCAACAGTTGGTGGCTCTAGTAAAGGCGATATGAGAGAGCCCTATCACGGTGCCTTTTCTGTAAGTCTTAAAATTTATCAAAATACAATATTATCCCAAGGTTAAAAACCCTTTCCCTGCACTTTTCCACGTATGGCTGGTGAGATAACCCTCATTCTAAGTAACTCTCCAAATCCAATACCCTTATTAAATAAACTCTGAGGTTGACTTGCCAGGAAGACCTCATCAAAATTCAAAAAGGATAATACGTTTTCTTTGAAAACGAAGTTTCAGGAGGGAATTTTAATCAAATCAATGTAGCACTTGGCTTAAAATATTCTGAAAAAACATATGAAGTGCCAAGAAAGTTTGCTCCTCCGAAGAGCCAGACATCATCATTCTGCTGAACTTGGGAACACGTCTCCAAAGTCCCACGTGTGGCAGCGGGGTGTGGTTCATGACTCAAAAAAATGGCATCCCCGAGTCCACAACTCCATTTCCCAAAGCAATCAGATGCCCCTGGAGCTCCAGCAAGAATGTGGAAGCTACAAGCCCAGGAATGATACAGCTCTTAGAGGCTTTAAAGCTTCTAGTAGTTTGCCAGATCTTTGTCAAGGAGTGTTTTCTTTTTTTTTTTTTTTTTAACTCCTCTCTCAATGATACTATTGAACATAAAACTTTTTGCCTCTCTTTCTTAACATGGCTACTTAGTGAAGTTGGTTTAGGGCCCCTAACTGCTGACTTCAGATGGCTCTATAATGGGGGTAAGAAATATACAGCTTTTAATCCACAGAGATGATTAATACAATTTCTCACAAGCTATTAAATTTTTGAACTTAAAATGTGACAACAAGATACATATCTTTGTCTACTTTTTCTTTGGCTTTAAATTTCATTATTGTCTTGTTTTTTCCTTTCTAAGTTGTTCTTTCCTTGTTTAGAGAAGGACATGGTATATATTATAGTAAGTATTGTGCCATTTTCCAGGCTCATCTAGATTTAGCTGGTGATGGTTTAGGATTGACTGGAATAGTAAGAGAGTTAGGGCAGAATGTGAATAGAAGCCCTACCCCATCTGTCCTCCATTCTTTCAAATGCAGATCCCATGAATGTGGCAGAGACACGGAAACAGCGAGGGGAGAGAATAACCATATGTGTGTGTGCATGCACGTGTCTGTGTGTGTGTGTGCACACACATGTGTGTGTGTATATGTGTGTATGTAGAAGACAGTGAAACAAGTGAAGTAGCTGGGGAAGAAGGCAGGTCTTAGGGACAGAGTCTTAATAGAACACAGTTTGAAATTAGGCAAAGGGTCAATCTGCAAGAATGTTTTCAGCATATTGCATTGTTACTGATGGCTTTGCCTCTGTACACCTACCGGGAATACACAACGTAAATCTTCCCACATGTTGCTGACACAGAGAGGTGATACAAGAAGAGAGAGCAAATCTAACATGTTTTACTAGGATTAGTACAAATTTAAACTGGAGGGCTTCATGAATAGAAAATACTGTGATCTGGCTTTTAAATTTTTATCTTATTCACATCTAGTTAGGCTAAAGAAATTATAAGAGCACAGATTAAGTAGTAAAAATAAAGTGACAAATCAGTACTGTTAGCTTTTTTGTGTGTAAGAATTCTATGTACTGTTAAAGAATTGTGGCTTTGCACCAGCCCCCCACCCCACCAACCCCGCCAGTGATTTTAGTCCCTCATCAGTACACGCAGCCGTCGATGGCCTGAACAAAACATGGAGAAAGATCTCAACTAGGCTTAAACCTCAAACTAACCATGGTCTTGCTACCATCTACCAGCAGCTAAGATGAAGGGAGGAGAATACAGGGAAATCTTCTTCTGGTGCAGTTGTGAGGCATGTGAGGAAGAAGGAAATGTGTGTTAAAGCCCAACAAAGAGACAAATGGTCCACTTAGACAGAATGTGTGTGCTGTTGTAATGCTCTGTTTTCTTTTCTGAGCCTCTGCATAAGTGAACACAGATACCAGGACCACAGGAGGTAAGGAGTCTCTGAGACACTGATGAACTCCAACTACAAAGGCTGGTACATAAAATGTTTATTTGGGAAAGCTGTCAAGATATAAAAATACAAAATTTTAGGGCTATTTTAACTTTGAAGCAATTAAATATAAACTACTT